ATTATCAATGCTTTCAATTTGCTTTCAATTTCAGCCGTATTATCAATGCTTTCCTATGGACGCTTGTGTGCTCTCACTGTGATTTTCACAGTGAGAATCACGCAAGCGCCTCTAGCGGCTGTCAATGAGACAGCCGCTAGAGGAATTGGGGGAAGGCTTAACCCATTCATAAACATAGCAGTTTCTGTGAAACTGCTAAGTTTATGAAAAAATGGGTTAACTCTAGCTGGACCAGGCACCCAGACCACCTCATTAAGCTGTAGTGGTCTGGGTGCCTAGAATGGTCCTTTGACATTTCTTAAATAATTTACACTGTGTATAATGTTTCTACCATCTACAACAATCATTTGTTTTCTTTTAGCCAGGTTAAATTTCACATTAAGAATGTATTGAACATGCAAAGTTCTTAATTGAACCTAAATGTTTTAGGATCACTCCCACATTGGGACTATTAAAGAATACATGTTTGGCATTCACGTGTCTTCCTTTCTTTGTGGGTTTCTGGTCATTTTCCATTTGGGTCTTGTTATTCTCTAAATGGAATGTGTTTTTCAGGGTGATAGTCGTGGATCTGTTCACCAGATGTGGAGATTGGCAAAGAAATTCAAAGTAAAAAAAGTAAATAAATTAAAATCAAATGTCGCTGTTCTTTGAACTAAGGTGATCAGGCAGATTTACTTGTCTTGTTTTGGTTAGTGTTTGAAACATTTCATTGTAAAAACTAAAATGAATACCTGTAACTCTATCAATCCAGAAGGCAAGTGTATAATTTTTAAAGGAAATTTAACTAGGCTTATTGATTTAAGTTTGTTGATCAGGATGGTATCGTATGATCTTTTGCCAGCCCTTTGCTTGGTTACAAAACTGTGCTATTAATTTAACCCATGCTACTAATTTAATTCCACTGGGTTCCAGAATCCACCATACAAGAAACATCTGAAGAATAGAAAGCGAAATGTAAATATCTTCTAATTTGGGGTCAGAAAACTATGGAACCCTTGTCATTGATGGCACACAAGGCTGCCAGTCCCAAAATCCAGAGGATCTCTCTGGAGCTGACCTGACAGAGATCCCAGTAGGACATATTCAGATATCGGCTAGTGCCCGAATGCAGCAGCCGCAATTCACTCGTGGCAATGCAGGGAGGAAGTGATCTCAGATTATAAATGAGAAACCACATGGGAGGAGAGCAGCACTCCGCAGCTCCTACCCTAGCCCTGTACCCGGTTAGCCAGGTGTATATTTACTTTATCTGACATGTATGCATTCCATATTTCAAATTAATATTTTCTTTAGAAACTTAACAAAAGTAACTTGGTAGTGATGGGGTTAAACATCTTAAAAAATTATAAACTATATATAAAAAAAAACCTAAACAAAATAGAAATGCATTATTTGTTTTGGCTTTACAATACACCATACCAAATGTCCCGATATAAAAAATAAATAAAAATAAAATATACTTTTTGAGACTTAATAATCACTCAGAAAGTTGAACTCAAGTGTTCTAAGCTCTGTTTGCACTGTACAGCATTTTCCTAGGCAGTAAAGACATGTTTCCGTTGCAGAGAGAGATAACAGATGAGGATTCTGGGTAATATGAATACCTTGACGGCTACAAATAGGATCCAGCATTCAATACCCCAGGTATTTCAAGAGTGTCTGCAGAATCTTGCAACGATACTTTTATTTTATGCTATAAAGACGTTAACAACTCTCAGCAACTTTGTTAAGATGTTCAGAATTCATTCTAATTAGCTATCCCCACGGATTTGTTTCTTATGAAAAATGATATTTACATAACATAGTTTTATATCTTTCGCAAACCCCCAACAGGGTAATAGCTTGGGCATGTAAGGAAAATTGATTAATTCTGTGGGGAGCAATTCCTTCCATGTTGCATTTGTATTTGGATTCCAATTAAACCCTCGGAATTCACATACTCTCTCTATGTATTGTTGCTCTATTTATTTATAAGCTACAGAATATGTTTGGCAAAGAGCTTTGTTGTATTGCAGACCTTCTGTAATTGGCAGCTTTGCATCAAAGAGATTTTATTAAAGTATTTGCAGATTATTTATTACGAAGTTGCTTTGCATCCGTTCAGACAGTGGCCCTGCAATTATATGTCTTGTTTACGAGTTTACTTTGACTGAATTTTAAGGGAGAAGAAAAAAATAAAAAATAACTGCTCACTTTCTTGTAGGTGGATGGCTAATTGCAGAACATGTTAGGTGATGATCAGAGGGCTTTCATTTTTTTTGCAATTCTAATTATGCATTTTATTTATTTATTATCGAATGCATTGAGAAAAAAAAGTCTGTTTCTTCTATTTGGGGAATTTAATAAAACTTGCATTTGAAGCAGTTGAGTTAAATAAAAGGGCTTTAAAAAAGTATTTTAATTTTGTTTGTCTACAATTTTCCAGAATTGTATGGTAAACAGAGACAGCAAAGGTTTTGATGTTTATGGTGTTTTTACAATACAGCAGGGATTGATA